CAAACAACCTATCAAGTTCTTTAGAATTCCAAAAAATTCGTACTTGAAATCATAATTTTCAAAATTTGTATCTATTTCTTCCTTATTATTAATCATTATTATTAATTACTAATATTAATAATTAAATAAATGGTTTATGTTATTATTAAATAATAAATCATATATGATATGTGTTTTCTACTCGAAATCGTAATGTTTAAAATTGGTATCTCCTTCTTTCTTACTATTAATCATTATTATTAATTATAAATAATAATTAAATTAATAATATTACATTATTATTTAGTTATAAATCATATTTAATTTGTGTCGTTATTTTTACATGACTCATACCCCTTAAAATATACAAATGAAATGTTAAAAGATAACAACATATTAGCATACACGTTAATTATAATATTCATTTTAATTACATAAAACACATTTTTAGGTAAATATAAAAATATTAAATAGTTGAAGGATGGATGGGGTTGTAAATCTTTAAAAAAAAACAATGATTTTTGTAATTGAGTCATTGATGAAAAATTCATTCTATTATTATTTTTTTATACTTTTATTTTGTAGTCAAACAATTAAACTATTGAAAATAAATAAAATAGAGAGTTAAAAATATATATTATACAAGTTACATTGAAAAATAATTTTAAATAATAAAATCTTTTTATATCTTTTATTTAGTTTAAAATTCCAATTTTTTATTTAATGGGTTGTTGTTGATATTATTGAAATTTTATTTTATGATAAAATATTAAATGTCATTTTATACTGTTTAAAATATTAAAATAACAAACGTGAGAAAATGAGATATGATCAAAATATTAAAAAAAATTATTAAATTTTAAATTTATGGTAATATATTAATTATTTTGCACATACTTTTTAAAATTGATAAAATTATGCTAATAATAATCAATGTCATTTAATATGTTTGATTTATATATGCTAATAATTTTATATATTAAAATTAAAAATGAAATTATTAATAAAAATATGAGACAATTATGATATACAAATCTATTTTTTTGAAAGGCCGACAAAAGTGTAAGACTAAAGAATTTATCTTTTACTTATCCTTTTATAAATAAATTAAAATGATAAATTTATTATTAAAGATAATCGCAATAAGAACAAGAAAAAAATAAGGATGAAATTAGGGTATAAATTTAAAATATTAATTAATTAATTTACTTACCAAATTCTATTTTATTTTATTTTTTAAAATTTACTTATCACATTCCATTTTTCAAGAATTTTTTCTTTTAAGTTTTTCAACTATGGTTACTTGTTCAAGATTTATCAGAGATTTGTTATAAAACTGAACTGTGTTTAAATGATATAATAAAATCATATAATATCAAATAGTATCCATAAATTTACGATACAGAAAATTGTAAACATTATTGGCGTGTCCGACGGGTGGAATTTATTTTTTCGACAGATTGATAAAATATTTACTTAAATTGAATAGATATTATAGATAATATGTTTAATGATTTCTGAATTACTATAACATATAACTTGTAAATTATTACCTTTATTTAATATTTATAGTATTTCACAATCATAAATAAATATTTATATCGACTACGCACGGGTCCTATACATTTCTTAACCATCATTCTACTATCTTTATTTATTATTTATAATAATATTGTACAAACATGTAAATCCACGTGTAGATAATCAATTTTATAGATATGTGTGAAGTGTATTAGACCATATATTCATATATTTTAAACATAATTCGACAACTTCTACAATATAATAAATTAAATTAAAATTTACGTGACAATCATAATAGAAAGCTTTTTTCTCTTAATTCGTATATATTTTTATATACATTTTTTAATCATAATTATATAATATTTATTTAATATTTAAGCCGACTTTATGCGATTCATGCGAACGCACGACAGATCTTTATTAATTTATTAATAAAATAAATTAATAAACATAATCATTAATCTACTCTAATATTATTTCAATTGATTGACCTATCTAAATTTACTTTAACCAAAACATAGGTTAATTATATGTTTTCCAATACTTAATTTATTTTTTGTTATTTTAATTTTCAAACATAGAATTTTAAGTTGACCAAATGTAAAATCAGATAAAATAAAATTATTTTAATTTGTATCATTAATTTGAGTTGTATGAATAATTTCTTTAATACACCATTTGAAATGTATTAACATGATTTTGATATGTTTTGAAAATTTTGTCAACTCTGAAATGTCTTTAATTATAAAATTATTTCCTAATATCATATTGACTTTGTTATTCATTCTTATTTGTCTGTCTAAATCTCTAAAATATGTGTTATATAAATGGTCTCAATAGTGAAATTTACATGGCTTTTATATGATTTTTAAAACGAATATCATATATTTTATTTAAATTATATATGATATTAAGATGTTATATTAAAAAAACTCAATTGACTTATCAACATTTTAGTATAACAAAAACATAAGTTAATTATTTGATTTTTTTGTTATTTCTTTTTTTTCTATTAAATATATATTTATAGTTGGCAGAGACTACTGATTTTGTATATATTTTTTATATATATATATTTCTTAATTATCAATATATTATATTTATTTACTATTTATAAATATATTGTGCAACCCGTGTGAACGCACTGTTAGACGACTACTTAATTATTTTCTTTATTTTTCTACTAAAATATACATTTTCAACGTGTCGAGATTACTTAATTTGCATATCTTTTATATAAATTTCTTAACCATCACTATACAATACTTATTTACTATTTATAACGATATTATGTGACCCATCCAAACGCACGAGTAGATGACTACTTAATTATTGAATATTTATTCTATTAAAATATACATTTTCGACAGTCCGAGACTACTTAGTATGTATATATTTTATATGAATTTTTTAACAATCACTAGATTATATTTATTTACTATTTATAACGACATTGTGCAAACTGTGCAAACGCACAAATAGATGATTACTTAATTATTTCCTTTATTTTCCTACTAAAATATACATTTCTGACGGCCCGAGACTACTTAATTTCAGGATCGGCCCAATTAAACTAGAGGTCTTTTTCTAATTTTAAAAATAGACCTAATTTTTTTTAAAAAAAAATTATAATTATAATAATTAAAAATGATATATAAAAAATATAATTATATATTAATTTAAAATATTTAATTATAATTATTTTAACTTTGGTCCATCTCATTTTTTTTATATATTGAATTTTTTATCATATTATTTTATGATTTATTGTTTTTTTTATAATATTTTTTATATTTATTAATTTTAATATATAAAAAATTGGACTTCTCACAAATTGGGGCCCTCCAAAATTTGAGGCCTTGTGTTGTGGAGTTTGTTGCTCAGCATATGGTCGAGCCTGCTTAATTTGTATATCTTTTATATATATTTCTTAACTATCATTATACTATACTTATTTACTATTTATAACGATATTGCGCGACCCGTGCAAACGCACACGTAGATGACAACATAATTATTTTATTTATTTTTCTACTAAAATATACATTTTTGACGGGTCGAGGATACTTAATTTGTATATCTTTTATATAAATTTCTTAACCATCAATATATCATATTTATTTCCTATTTAAAACTAGATTGTGTGACTCGTGCGAACGCACGAGTCTCTTACTAGTTTAATAAAAAAATCCATCAGGGCATGTCACGCCCATCCCAAGACTATAGAGATGCTTTGGTGTTGCTTAAACCCCGACTTGGAGGTCTATAAATTTGATCAACAAAAGTTCTATTAAATCAAATAAAGTGTCAACAATCATATATTTTCACATATGAATCACACGACTCATGATAACCTAGTCACCTCCTATACGCATAACATTTGGATTTGATTTATCCTTCTGCCACTAACAGGACTCGAACCATTATAAATTCCTACAATAGGTATAGAACTGAGAGATCAACATCCCTTGTATTCGTAGGCCATGGACCTTAAATATAGTAATCAACTATCAAGAGTGGGTATGGATTATATATGTCCTTATCTATCTCATGATAATTCTAACCCGTGATATCTGTATATAGAGTTAGAACTAAACGACGTGACATGGGTAGTCACATAAACCACACACTATTGAGAATGTTATGTTATTCCATACCCCATATATAACCCTATAGACCCTAACCACAACATTCCCCACATTTGAGTCTAGTTTATGAGATCATTAACATCCTACTACAACTTTGTGAGACTCCAGCTCTACTCTAGATTATACACCTAGGGTATGTAGTGAGACATGTCAACCCCATTTATCTATTACAATCAGTTAACTGAAAGATCCTTATGATCCTTCCAGTTGTCAGTAATCAACACAAACATTGCAATCCAAAATAACTTTTGGTGTCCACAATTTTCTTACATTAGATACAATTTATCCAAGTTTCACATGGGACACTCCTAATATCACGTAATCATAATCCTATAGATTATCTTACTATCTTGTGGTACTAACAAATAGAGTGGTCCATATAGTAGGAACACATTCAAAATCTTTCAGCCAACTCTTAGTTCGATCATATCTCGAAGGATTGGTTTTCACCGAAACACATGGAAAATACTTCATTTATACCAAAAATAAGACTCCTATATTAATTTTGATTTTTTTCTTTCATCGACAATTATTTATTGGGTATGAATATTGTGATTAGATAAGTATGAGATCCTTAGTATTAAACTATTAAAACAATAGAAAAGACTAGAAATCCTTGTAAATGTTTTTCAATCTGTGACGAGTTCATATATTTCATATCATCAAAGAAATATGATACTAATTTGTAACAAATTATTGGTGAGAATATATTTTTATTTTTAAGTGAATCTATTGATAATTGAGGATGAAGATTTACATTACAAAAGCTCCTTACACCTTTTTTATTTCAAACAAAAATTAAGGCGCATCTTTTATTTTTCAGCGATTGGAGTGATACAACATAGCTTCTTAAATAAAACAACAACAATTATCTTGACCACCCGGAAACCAACATTGTCCACCTTTTTGAAATCCCTTTCTAAGACATTCTGTACCACAATTTGAATTACAAGTATCTATGCAGCATGCTGCTGGTGGTCCATTTCTTCCATAAGGGCAATCTAATTTAGCTGGAGTGTCCAAACTAGTAACAGATCCTGAAACAAATAAAAATTATAATCCACACAAAGTTTTTTCTTTATATCTTTCAAAAAATTTCACCCGTTATTATTTTGATTTCACAATTTTTTTTTGAATCATGTAGATCTAACTATTCCAGCTAATGTTTTCTCCTTATAAACATAAAGTCTAAGGTTACAAAATTTAAAATTCTCAAATTTAAACGCAAATTATTTCATAAAAATAATAATGTATAAAAAGAGATTTAAAACAAATTCTTCTGTTTACCTGAAATCAAAATCAAAATAATGCATAAAACACCAAAAAGATAACAAGATTGATAGCTTTGAGAAGTCATTTTGTAGAATTTCAGTTTATATTTTCTTGTGTGTTACAAAACTAAAATCTTATACATTATATAGACTGAAAATTTTGTTTAAATGGAAATAAAAAATAATAATATTTTATTTGATTAAATTTTATTAAAAAGTTGTAGTTTTATGTTTGATGATATAATCATATTATAAGGCTTTTTTTCTTCTAGATATACATGTCATAAATATTTGTATAGAAATATTAATCAAATTTAAAAATAAACTAAATATTATATTAATTATTTAAATATAATTAACAAATAATATTAATGGTAGAAATATATTGTTTAATAGAAATAAGAATCATCATTGGTTTTATTCATGGTTTCACTGTGAAATTTTTTTATGTAAAATCCTAAGTTGAAAATCGGATCACCATATTTTTCCCCGCCTTCAAATATTCAATTAGTATACATTGAATATTAATCACTAGCCAAATAATAAATTAAAATAAATTAATTAGAATACTTATTTTATAAAATAAATTTTAAATAAGAAAAAAGCAGGCCATTTAATAATATTTAATTTAATACCAATTAATTATATATCTATAATAATAATTAGTGGTATAAATAATTGGCACTTGATACATCAATTCAAATATATGGAAGTGGATTAGGTTACTTTTTTTTTTATAAAAATAGAATAAGAATAACTAATATATCAATAATGTTAAATTGTAATTCATATGTGTCAAAATTAGATTTGATTTTGTTTTAGATTTAAATAGATTTGAATTTAAGTCTAGAATAGATTTGATTAGATTTGATTTAGTAAAAAGATATTTTGGGCTTGGGTTTTAGCTTAGGAAGCAAGCTAACCTAAATCTATAAATAGAGGGAGTAACCCCTATTTTGTAATCAAGTCATTCACAATATTTTGTAGTTGCAAAGTGAATAATAAAATTTCCACAGTTTGTGGGCAGAGAGAAACTCTGCAGAAATATCTCTATTGTCTTTTCTTTATTTGTCTCATAACTAATCATCAGTGGTGGTCGAAATTCATCATAGAGTATTAGTGGATTTCCAACATCTGGTATCAAGAGCTTGTGTTTCGATTCAAGGGAAGTGTCAATCAAGAACGATTGAAGAATTCACGATGACAAGTTATGGGAATGCAAACTATCCAGCAACGCTGCCAATTCTGAAAGTTGACAACTATGAGAATTGGTGCAAACAGATGAAAGTCCTATTAAGGTGTCAAGGCCTTTGGGACCTTGTAAAAGATGGAGTCGAAGCGCTTGGCGAAAACACTTCAGAAGAAGAAAAGAAGAAATATACAGAATCTGAGAAGCAGAGTTATAAAGTATTATTTATAATTCATCAATGTGTCAGTCCAGACAATTTCGAAAACATTAGTGATTCAGAATCTGCAAAAGAAGCTTGGGAGATCCTCGAGAAGTCTTTGGGAGGCGCTGAGAAGGTGAAAGAAGTGAGGTTACAAACTCACAAAAGGACCTATGAACTGCTTCATATGGAAGACAGTGAAAACATATCTGATTTCTTCACTAGAGTTACAAAACTAGTGAATCAAATCAAGGGATGTGGAGAAACATTAACAACATGAGCTGTTGTTTCGAAGATCTTGAGATCTTTAGCTCCTAATTTCGACCACATAGTGGTGGAGATCGAAGAGGGGAAAGACTTGTCGAAATTTACAAAGGAAGAGCTTCAAGGGACGCTCGAATCTCTGAACAAAGAATGAACGAAAGAGCTGCAGGAAAATCGAAGAGTGATGTGGCCTTACAGGCACATTCAGCAAAAGAGACCAAAGGCAAAGGAAAGTATTTCGACAGAAGTAGAGGTGGCTACAACAAATCGAATGGTAGAGGAAACCAAATCGAAGGAGACGTGTCGAATCAAAGAAGACCACACCAAGGCAACCAAAGAGGTGGTGCTGCAAACAGAGGAAGAGGTGGTGGTCGAAAACCTGATAAAAGTCACATTCAATGTTACAATTGTCAGAAATATGGACAATATTCGAGTGATTGTCCAGAAAAACAAAAGAATCAAGAAAGTGATGCAAAGCTTGCAAAACATGAAGAAGAAGAAGAGATTATGTTGATGGTCACACCAAAAGATGAAGATAGATTCAAGGACCAATGGTACTTGGATTCAGGATGTTCATCACATATGTCTGGAAGGAAAGACTGGTTCGTCAATATAAAACCCTCAATGAAAAATATGGTAAAATTTGCAAATGAGAACACCATAGCAGCTGAAGGTATTTGTGATGTTATGATCATGAGGAAAGATGGCAAGAATTCAGTAATTTCGAATGTATTGTACATACCAAGCATGAAGAGCAATTTGCTCAGTAAAGGGCAGTTGGTCGAAAAGAATTATAAAGTGTCAATCGAAGATAAGTTGATGAGTGTTGTTGATGCAAATGGGAGAGTAATCTTGAAGGCTCCTATGTCTCAGAATCGAACCTTCAAGATTGAACTAAATGTGACGGAGCACAAGTGCCTTTCGACTGCAGCTAGCAGAGATGAATGGATATGGCATTATAGACTAGGTCATCTCAAATTCAGAGACATCAGAGATTTGAAGAGAAGAAATATGGTTTCAGGATTGCCTGAAATTGACATTCCAAATGAAGTATGTGAAGAATGTGTGCAGGCGAAGCAACACAAGAATAACTTCAGCAAGGATGCAGGAAGCAGATCGAAGGCTAGTCTCGAAGTCATATACTCTGATGTATGTGGACTAATCCAGGTGGATTCGATGGGAGGTAACAAATACTTTGTTACATTCATAGATGATTTCAGTCGAAAGCTATGGACTTACCTGATCAACAAGAAAAGTAAAGTGATCGAAGTATTTACCAAGTTTAAGTCCATGGTCGAAAGACAAAGTGGTCGAAAGCTCAAAGTTTTGAGAACTGATGGTGGTGGAGAATATGTGTCGAAAGACTTCGACAGATTATGTGAAAAGGAAGGGATTGTGCATGAGGTGGTGCCACCCTATACTCCACAGCAAAATGGAATTGCATAAAGGAAAAATCGAACCATCATGAATATGGTGAGAAGTATGTTGAAAGGCAAGAATTTACCTAAAGAGTTCTGGGATGAAGCTGTTTCGACTGCAACTTATATTTTGAACAGATGTCCTACAAAGAAGCTAGAAGGAATAACTCTAGAAGAATGTTGGTCTGGTGTGAAGCCTAGCTTAAGTCATCTGAAGGTATTTGGATCTATTGCACATAGGCATGTGCCAGATCAGTTGAGAAGAAAACTTGATGACAAGTCAAGTCAAATGATCCTAGTTGGATAACATTCGACAGGAGGCTACAAGTTGTTCGATCCAGAGAACAAGAAGATTGTGATCAGCAGGGACGTGATCATAGATGAGTTTAAAGAATGGGATTGGACTTCAAATGTCAAGAAAGATTCAGTGGGAATCTTATTCGAAGAGCCAGAAACTCAAGTCGAAAGAGAAGTTCGACAAGAGGAACCAGCAGATATATCAAGTACAAGCAGGCCTCAAAGAACAAGACGCATGCCTGCAAGATTGCAAGATTGTGTGATTACATCAGATGATGTAATAGATGATGAAGGTGAGCTGATACATTATGCTTTCTATGCAGATGTCGAACCTGTTAATGCAGCTGAAGCATTAAAGGATTCGAAGTGGGTGAAAGCAATGAACGAAGAAGTAAAGTCTATCAAAGATAACAACACTTGGTCACTTGTCGAATTGCCTCAAGGCAAGAAGGCAATTGATGTCAAGTGGGTATACAAAGTGAAGACGAATTCGAAAGGTGAAGTAACTCGATACAAAGCAAGACTTGTGGCGAAAGGATTTCTACAGAAAGAAGGAATAGACTTCGACGAAGTCTTTGCACCTGTTGCTAGGATCGAAACAATCAGGCTGGTTGTTGGTCTAGCAGAAATCAACAGTTGGCACATATATCAGATGGACGTGAAGTGTGCATTCCTAAATGGACCCTTAGATGAAGAGGTCTATGTTAAACAACCAGTTGGGTTTTTGAAACATGACGAAGAAAGAAAGGTGTACAGGTTACATAAAGCCCTGTATGGATTGAAACAAGCTCCAAGGGCTTGGAATAAGAAAATTGATAGTTTTCTAAGGGAGAAGGAATTTGTGAAGTGCATAACTGAACATGGAGTATATGTAAGAAGAAGCAAGAGTAAATTGCTTATACTATGTCTCTATGTAGATGATTTGTTGATAACAGGTAGCTGCAAGAGTGAGATCGAAGACTTCAAAGGTGATCTCAGCAAGGAATTTGAAATGTCTGATTTGGGTGAGATTTCATATTTCCTTAGTATCGAATTCTACAAGAGCAGTAGAGGTTTGATGATGCATCAAAGAAGATATGCAGGAGAAATTCTCAAGAGGTTTGAGATGGAAGAATGCAACTCAACTTCGACACCTGCAGAACCAAGACCGCAACTGTCGAAAGATGCAGATGAAGATGATGTTGATCCAACCCAATACAGAAGACTTATTGGATCATTGAGATACCTTTATCATATAAGGCCTGACTTAGCATAGAGTGTAGGTATGGTAAGTAGATTCATGCAGAAGCCAAAGGTATCACATCTAGCAGCAGTGAAGAGGATACTAAGGTATCTCAAAGGAACTTTCGATTATGGCATTTTGTTTCCTGCAGTTGATAAAGGAAAAGAATACAAGTTAGTGGGATACACTGATTCGAGTTGGTGTAGTGATGCTGAAGATCGAAAGTCAACGGCAGGATATGTGTTTATGCTAGGTGGTGCACCAATTGCTTGGAATTCAAGAAAGGAACCAGTAGTGGCATTATCATCATGTGAAGCAGAATACATAGCTGCTTCTCTTTGTGCATGTCAAGAAACTTGGATGATGAGCTTGGTCGAAGAGTTAAAAGGGAAAAATCATGGAGCAATTACCATGAAGATAGACAACATGTTAGCTATTAATCTGGCGAAGAACCCAATAGCACATGGTCGAAGTAAGCACATCGAAATGAGGTTCCATTATCTTCGAGAGCAGGTAGCAGATGGGAA